CGTCGCCAGCGACTCACGGCAGCCCAGCTCCAGGTTGAGCTGTTGTTCAGCATCTTAGCTGTAGAGGGCAGTGTCACTGGCCCTCATATGTGGGCTCCGAACCGGGGCCCTCTGGCATCCCAAGCGAGTTCTTAACCATCGCGCCACTCGGCCGGCCCGAATCAACATTTTTGTATGGCTTGTCTGCCCCTGCCCATAGCAAGGCCTTCATTGTGATATACTTGGATGATGTTCATAGCTCTCATCCTCCCAGAACTCAGAGAGATCTTCTGAAAACCACTTTTATCACCCCGCTCCCCATTCAAAAACCTGCGATGCTTTCCTCCTCTTCCCCGATATCAGCCCTCTGCTTTGGGCCATTTCTCTCACAATATGCCTTCGGTATGTCTCCCTTTTCTTTATATCCTCCCCTGCCCCAAATGTTTCTGTCCTATTTAATTTGCCTCTCCAAAATGCTACCCACTCTTCAAAATCCCCTTCAAGAAACCATCAGATTCCCTTGCTTCTGTTTAAAACAGAACTTCACAAATGCTGCAGAACAAAGGAGAAATGCTAGTAGAAAAATTATGCTTTTGGGTGACAGGTAGGTCCAAAATGTGGTAGAGAATCGAAAAACAAAAGGCAAGAGAGACTCATCTGAAAGTTACATTCAACTGTTACATCAACATAGCACACGTCTTAAATTATTTACTATTCAAAATGTACATAGTGCACCAACTACTTATGGAACCATTATTTTTCCAATGACATTGTGCTCTTTTAAAACGGTTCACCATCCCACAACATGGCCAATGAATGCCTTATTAAACTGGTTTCTTTAGGACAAATTCATACTCCAATGGCAGGTGTCACTGGATTCGGAACTTTAAATATTGCCAAGCTACATGGAAGAGGCTATCCAGCCTCGTCACGTGTGCTTCCTACTTGAAGGACAACTACGTAGTTACAGAACTTCCAAAAATCAAGATAAAACAGACTTTTTCAAGGGATAATGAGCACACGCCACCGGTTAATACCTTAGCGTCCAACTGGAGTCTCTCTTCGTTCAGCGCCTCTGTTGCGGTCTGAATTTTTTCACGGCATCTGTTTATTTCCGACCGGACTGTAAAACAAATTAAATCCTTCAACACATCCATCCTTCCCAAGTCCCCCTTCCTGAAGCCTGTGTGATAAGTCGCCTTTCAGCGGTCTCTCCCCTCGACGTGGGAAGCAGACCCCACCCCCCCAACTGCTCAGACCACCACTTGGGGGATTTGCTCCTGCTCCGAGCTCCCCACTGGAGAAGACAAAGGCCCCGTGCAAACGACCCGAGCGCCCCGCTGACCTTCTCGCATCAAGCGGCGACTCTCCTCCGCCCGTTGCTCAGAGAAGATGATGTGCTGAAACAAGGACTCCAAACTCATCTTCGGCAACAGGCTCCTGCGGATCCTTTTTTTTTTTTTTTTTTTTTTTGCCCTTAAATATTTTATAACCGAGTCTGAGGAGCCTAGAAAGCACAATAAAGCAGACTTATGCTAAGGCTATGCCCGTATCGACCGCCACCTCCAGGTCCCCTGCCCACACCACGGACGGAGCCCGAGGCCGGATGGCGAGAGGACCCCGACGGCCCACGGGCGCCGCCCAGCTCGGAGCCTGGTGCCCGGCCTTGGTTCCCGATGTCCTAACAGACAAACCCGGGCTCTCCCTCTCTCGTGCCCTCGTTCCGCTGGTGACAACAGCCTCAAGCTGCCCTCCCCTGGCCGGACGCAGAGCCCCTCAGACCAGGCCTCGGCCCCGCTCCCCGGTTCTCGGCTTTGTTCTGCTGGGAAACAAACATGGAGGCCCTAAGCCTGGGCTTCCGAGCAGGTCTGGGCAGCCGCCCTGTCCGTGCTCAGCCTTGACCTCTCAGCCCCCTCTGCTCTGAGAGCTGCGGCCCGCACAGCGCCCTGCCGCCCAGGGAAACGCGTCCTTACTCACCAGGCTGCGGCGGGGACCTCAGGGACGGGCGGCCCGCTCCCCGGGTCGGGCCTGCGTGGGAGGGACGCACACGACGGCGTCCCCGCTGGCCCATTCCGCCCGCAGGTGTTTTTCTTGCGGAAGAAGCCGGCGTCTGCTGCTGGCCCCGCGAAAGCCCGAGTCTGAGAGACAAGGGTTGGTGGAATGAAAAGGTGTCTTCGAAACGCCAGCCTTCTGGGAAGATGGCGGACTCCCGTCTCAAAGGCCATCTTCCCCGTTTCTAGAGCCGCCAGAAGAAGGTTTTATAGGCATCGTGAGATGGGGCAGCACAAAGGGGGAGTTAGGAGATTCCGGGGTGCTGACGTCCAGAAAAACGCATCCTAGGGGCCAGTTCGTTGGGAGCTGATGTGTCCTGGGCCTGGTTGGAGGGGCGATTCGTACGTCAACTAGTGGAAAATGGCAAGGGAGTGGCAGCTGGTGATCCGCTTCTAGAAGTCTAAGGGCTGAAGAAGTTTCTTTTAATGTTCTGACGATTAACCAGACTAAGGAAGTATGTATGTAACCTTGGGAAAGCAGAGCCATGGAATCAAGAGAGGAGGAGAAGATAACAAAAGAAAAAAAAAAAGAAGAAAGAAACTACATTGTTAAACCTTGCAAAATATACTGTCACCCTTACATTTTCCTGTGGCCAGGTGTCCTCCAAAGGCCATAGGCCTTACTTTGGAGTTGGGGTGACCTATCTCCAAGGCACAAACACCCAGTATTATAAAGTACGCAGTATCCGTGTTTCTAAATATAAACTTTTGCAAAGTCTTATCCTCTGACTATGGCAAAGACTGCTATAAATGTGCAATGTCTGACATTCCGCCTTAATCATTACTTTGTAATCAGGACATATCTTTTTTGTCTGCTTTAAAATTAATCATTGCCTTTTGTAATCAAGCTGCAGTATTATTAACACTTCAATATCTGCGCAATATGTGTCAGAGACCAGAGTGGTTGCTAATTAAAGCTTAAGCATGAAAGGCACCTTTGGGACTTTTGCATGGGATTTTTTTAAATTAAAAAATAAATTTTTAGCTTTAGTAGGTCAAAAATATTAAGATTATAATAAACATTTGACTATATTTCTAAATGTTAAATTGGCATTGCTAAGCTTGAAAAAGTAATTCCTTGTTAGAATGTATTTACAACAAAGTAAAAGAAAGTAAATGTAAATTTTGTCACATCATCCTTATAATACTTAGTTAATATTTCATTAATGTGTAGGATAATCAGCTATACATTTTAACCTATTCCAAGTTTCAAACTTAATTTCCATGAAGCCATGCATGCTTAAAACTTAATTTTTAAATTTTATTTCAAAATACATACTGAAAAGTATAATAAAGTAGAAAAGAATTGCCCACAAACATATCATTCAGAAACAATAACACTTTGGTTATTGCCTTCCAGGTAATCATCCTCACCTTGTGTTTTTCCTTTACAAACTTGAAAATATTGTAAGTTACATTATTTATTACTTATTATTATTATTTATTATTTTCCAGGCACTGTTCTGGACACTATATCCTTTTGAAATGATTTTTACTATTATTTCATAGTATAGTTGAGGAAACTGAGGCACAGAACAGTTAAGTGTCTTGCCAAGGTTGCTTATCTAGTACATGGCAGAGCAAGATCAGAAACCAAGAAATATGAGATCAGAGGCCATGAATTTAATTTTGGATTCTGCTCCTTTTCCCTCTTATTACATCACAAGCATTTTACCATTTCATTGAAAACTCTTCATAAAAACATTTTTATAACTTCATAATTCCCTGTCATATAGATGCATGTGTAAAATTTAGATATACTGAATTCAATTTGACTCTTTTATCTGTTCAAGGATGGAAAACAAAGCTAAAATTGTGTTTTGAGCCATTTTCTTTGAGCACTCGTTTTGAGGCTTATGAACTGTGCCACGACAGCCATCAAAGACTAGGGCTTCCAGAAGATAAATTATATTACTAATTAATATCACTCCCTTCAGAATTATTTCCCATGGACTTGGCACAGGGAGCATCCTCACAAGGAGGCTGTTTTTCAAAAGCAGGCTGCTCTTTAACATTCTAATGTTATTAGTTACATTCAAACTTACATTTATTATTTAACATGCTCTTTCTGTTCTGAAACTTGGCAGAGTGAAATTTGGGCAGCGATTAGGTAGCCTGGTCACCTCATCCACCCAGGAGTAAAGAAGAAAGAGCAACAAGAAATTCTGGGAAGGGAAGGGGGGTAAGGGGAGAAATGGCTTCTTCATCTTCGCAGTCTTCTTCACATCTCAGAATATTTTGGTGTTTTAAATTCTAAGTTTGAATCTGCTTAAAGGAATCACAACTATAGACATTAGCAAGGTTTTTTATTTTATTTATTACAGCAAACCTAATTATTGCCAACCCACAATTCAAATTTTAGAAGTATTTCATAATAATGAGTACAAGTAACATATTAAGCTATTAAAACGTTACTATCATACATCTACCTTTATTCATACATTTTCTGTAATGTTAAGATATTTTTTCGTATAGATATTCACCAGAGCAAGAGTAGCATTACTTTCATTTATGCCAAATAAAAATGATATACGAACGACATGGTAAAACTAGGGCATACTATTTCCTGAAAATGTATCTTATAAGTCTAAAAAAAAAAAAAGAAATGATTCACTCAACAACTGTTTAATGAATCTCTGCTATTTATTCAACATTCATTCAACAAATATTATTGAGCATCTCCTATGTGCCACATTAGAGAAACACCAACAGGATTTAATAAAAACAGAGCTACATAAAAAGCATTTTTCTTCCCCCGGATATTTCTAACCTCTTTGGAGAATTATTGTCTTTTTCAGCATTTTGGCAGCAGTATAAACAACTACTTTCAGATGTTTCAACAGATGTTCTTCAGAAAGAAAGCCAATTATTTGCATTATGATACCCACGTATAATTCTCAGATCTAAACTTTCCATCTGTACATGTTTCATTCAATTGCATACCTATGGAATATAAAAGTTAAGATCATTCATTGTTTCTCCACCTTAGACTTGTGTTCATAATAACACTTTTGTTCAATAACTAGCACCTGGGTTATTGAGCCATCGATAATTGCTTTGCTAGAAGGCCTTATATGAGGCTATATTGCTCTTGTGATTTAAAATGCATTGCTTCTCTTTTCTTAGATTGATGACTTCCCTAAATTCTAAAACAGGCTTGCAAATACCCACTAGCTCAGGGCATATATATTGCAATGAAAAGAAGAAAAGTAATTCATTTATCTTATGTTTTTCTTAGGGCATCTGCCACAAAGGAAAAAAAAATGTGGGTTCAACCAAGTTTAACAACCATTTATTGAGTATCTACTAAGTGTAAAAATATCTGTTAGGTACTACAGGAGATACAAAATTGAAAGGTATAGGCCCTGCCCTCCTGGAGGTCATAATCAATAAATTGAACACAGCATGCACAAATAACTCCTAGGTAGGATGTGTTCAAGAGTTTCACCCTTGTGCTATGGGAGTATAGCAGAGGGAGAAAGAATGTCTGTCGTAAGTGTTCTGGGAAGGCTTATCAGTAGGGGATGAAACATGAGTTGGGTTTTCAAGGAGAATGAGACTGCCACAGATAGTGAGTAGGGGAGAAAAAATGCAGAAAGTAAGATGGGGCTAACATTTGGATGGTGTTTAACATTTTCATCCATGTGATGGAGGACCACGTACACTTTTCTAGCAGGTGAGTGGCATGTCAGAATTGTTTTATGCAGTCAGTCTGTGACAGTGGGTTAGAAGTACTAAAAAAGTCTTTTAATCAATCCAACAACCCTAGGAGATCAATGCTTTTACTGTGTCCATGTTACATTGGAGAACCGAGACAGAGAGAGCTAAGTAACTTGTCCAAGGTCACATGCAATAGCTAAGAAGTAGCAGAACCAGGGTTTGAACCCTGATTCTCTCTCACGGCAAACCCTTCACCGCTTCATTTACTGCCTCCAAAAACCAGACGCTGGAGAAAATGCAACCATTTCAGCAGCTGTGTTTCATTTCAAGGCAGATACATTTCCTAAAAAATACTTATCACCCACAAATTAGTATCTTTTCTGAAGGCATTTTCAGACTTCTAGAATTTGGATTACTAGTGCAATGCATCTGTAATGAATTAAAATTAAATGTAACATAAGGAAAAATATTGAAAATGGATCATACCTTGTTGTAAATGCTTATTTAACCAGCTACATATCTACTATGTAAAGCTAAAAATGAAATTTGTATACAAAGTAGTATATTAGTTTCTTAATATTTATATTAGTTTCCTAGAGCTACTAGAACAAAGTGCTATAATTGGGTGGTTTAGAACAACATTTTATTCTCATAGTTCTAGACATCAGAAGTCTGAAATCAAGGTGTCCGCAGGGTTGGTTCCTTTGGGCCCT